GTTTAGTTAGCTAATTTGTATTGAAATTGTAGTCAGGGGAACAAGCTTGGAGTGGTGGTTACTATACAACATACAAGGGGATCATGGGGAACAAAAGTAGCCACCCTCCAGAAGGAAGGACAGTGTCAGCATGAATTCAGAGATGATTTGAGAATCAACAGCCAAGTGATACACAAATAAGATATATTTTTGTTAATAGTTACGGTACTTGAATGCATTTTTATGATTTAACTCCTGAGTTTAGTGTTACTTTAAGTTAGCTGATGAAGGGTATCACCTAAACTCCAAACTTTCTGCACTAATTGATGGCTAACACAGTACAACACTCTACTTCATTGTTTCTTGCATCGGGACCCTGAAGGTTTTAGTTACGCCTCTGACTAAAAGTGTTGGTTTGTATTCCCCAACTATTTAGAAAAGGCAGAGGCTGAGACAGGAAAAAAAAGAAGAAATGGAAATGATGGATAATAATAAATGTAACAACTATTGAGAGGGTGAATATTGAGGCGAGTCCCAGGGCAAAGCACACATAAGACAGAGAGCTGCACCCAGGGCAGATTCTTCCACTGCCTGTGATACTAATGTGCACAGTAAGGACAGTAAAAATAGAAGGAGCTAAAAGTCAGATTTTCTGTTTATTCTCCAGTGCAAAGCGATTTCTATTATGGGCGAGTTATCTTTATTCTCCTGCTCCATTTTTCATAAATAAACATATTTGGGTTTGAGTAGTCATATTTGACATTTCTGTTATGTAAAAAAAGAGACTGAATTGGGTATAAATTGAGAACATTTTAAATGCATTATTAATTGATCTGCATGACCTTGTACAGCAGCACTTTTTTAATGGCACACCAGTAAAAGAATACTGCAAACTGCACACTGATTACATGTTGCCCTGTCAAGGCCTGTGTGAATGATCTTTTGTTCACATCAGAACTGCTTCTCACCACTCAATCCAGTCAATGCAAATGCAATCACAACAGGGACGTGCGGTCAGGGGAGGCAGGTGAGGCAGAGCCTCACCTAGTATTAGGAAGAAAAAAGGTGTCAGCTTCAAGTCTGAAGCTGACAGCTTTTTCTCCATTCAGAGCAGCTTGTTACAGGTTACACAGCAGGGAAAGCCTCTCCACTGTGTAACCTGTCATGGACAGAGCACTGCCTGTTAATTACAGGCAGCGCCGCATCCGGCTTTTGACAGCTAGTGCTTCCCCACTGCTTGTGTAACTGTCAAGGCTGGACCAGTGATAAGTGTCTAACTGGATCACAGCTGCGGAACAGGTGAAGGTTTTATTGGATAAGGAAGTTCAGTGAGCGACTCCCAATTACATTAAATGCTAGAGGGAGACCGCACTCATCATATACTTCCTGTTAAACTAAGTTGAGGAATATGCTACAGTGATATAAAGGTAGTACTCCTTACCCCACACTCATAGGCGGCAAGCTGTACATGTGCGGTACCAGCGTGCGGAGTATCAAATGGGGAGATAAACAGTAGGAGAAGCTAAGGGTTAATCTCTAGTTATCAAAGCAGATGAAGATATGGGACTTGCAGGCAGAGTCAATGGGGAGGTAAATGGCAGATTATTCAGCAACAAACAATTTAGATGCACCTCTATGCAGTTTTATCAGCAGATAGCAAGCAGCGGTAAGCAATATGAGGATAGCTCATGTACTCCCCAATTACAGACTTATCAGCAGGCAACAGACTTAGCACAACCACTACCCTTCATGCGTTACTACGGTAGTTTTAGAGAATGTGTCAGTCCTACGTCTCTTAGCAAGTATAGCTAACTGAAGGAGAAGCAATCCGGAACAGCTGGAGTGGATCAGTGGGTGTACGTGTGAGATAGCAACACATAAGCAGCATGCAAGCAAGCACAAAACATGTAGCAGGTTCAGCAAGATTTGCAATGACTTCCAGAATACTTGCGGTTGTGTGCTCTGAATAGCTCTGGGCTCACAGCGGTGTAGCAGTCTCGATTCGCCTGTCGCTGGAGCGCGGGGACACGCCGGGTAAGTCTGTGACGGTAACCTAACTTGGTGAGGCAAGAGCTGTCACAGCCTCTACTCTGTGTTAGAGGCGTCTCCTCCCCAAAGTTTGGTTACAGAGATAGGGGTGGGGCTACGGATATGAAAGAGCAATAAGAGATATGAGGAGCAAATAGAGGTTTATTGGTATTTTATAGTTTTCATGGACTTAAGCTTTAATCAAACTGTCCTGGCTGTGTGGATCTCACCTTTATCCCAGGAACATGGACTCCTCCTTGTCAGATAATAAAACGTTTATGTTAACACATATGTGAAAACAATTAAAAATAGAAATAGTTTTGGTTCTGGTCCTCATTTACACTGGCTTATAAAGCGGATACTTTAGCATAACTAATTAGGTACAGTACATCCTTTGATGGGTAGTTACAGAGATGAAATAACCAATAAAACATACACATTTAGTTCAGAAAGTAAAGGGTTAACTTACTCCTGACTACCACCTAACCTCAGTTTTAAATAGGTTGACCACTATCCTGCAGCTTTATTACCAATACTTGTCCAAGTTTCTAAGCTGCTAGTTTGAAAAAGTTGACCTAGAGTTTTAACAGTCCGTGGTCCAGAATAGACACTGATAGATTCTATATATATACTTATATGGATGCGCAAGAGATTCTCAGGAAATATCTATAATTTCAATGTCAAAAGGGAAGTGTCCGTTGAGTCTGAAACATATCTGAAATGTGTCTGAAACTTTAAGCAAGCAGAAAAAACAAACAAATATATTTTTAAAATGGCCTTTAAATCCCTCTTAGATCAGCCTTTCCCAACCAGGTTGGGTGCCTTCTGGCCTCCTCAGGGGAGCCTCAAAAATTTCAAACATTGTCATGCCTCTGATGTGAAGGGGAACTCCTAATGAGAAAAAGAGGGACTCTGATGTGAAGGGGAGCTTCTTATGTGAAGAGGAAAACCCACTTTTTGGTGTTTTTGCTGGGGTCCCCCCATTTTTACATTCTGCCTACTACCATATGTAGGCTACATTTCAAGCAGTGACGTGCCGTGCCTTCTGTGCTGGGTGAGGCATCCCCTGTCTAGCCGAAGCTCCACCCCGTCCCACCGAAGCTCCACTTTCATCCTGTTGAAGCCCCCCCCCAGCTCGGTAACCAGGCTGTGTGGGGAGGAGGAAGGGAGGAGCCTCCCTGACCCCCACTTGCTCAGCACTGCTGAGGTATCAAGATCGATGGTCTCAGTGGGGTTTTTTTGATTGGACAGCTTGGACCAATGGCACTTCCTAGACAGGGCCCCCTTCCTCCTGTCTGGGCTGGGATTTGTAGTCTCGCTACAGCTTGGAGTCAGTGTTGGAGTGCCAGGGCCCGGTTGCAGCTGCGGCCCTGGTACATCTGCCACCGACTCCAAGCTGTAGAGAGACTAGAAATCTTAGCATACATTATACAGCAATGCAGAATACCACCAATTATAGAGGACTACAAATACCAGTAAAACATGCAAAATAATATGAGGCTACATATTCGGGCTGTGCAGGCTCTCAGGAGGCTGTTCTGGTTCTTAGGTGGCCAGTACGGCTCTATGAGGGCGAGTGTGGGCTCTCAGGCGGTCAGTGTGGGCTCTCAGGCTGTCAGTGTGGGCGCCAGGCGGTCAGTGAAGGCTCTAAAAATTAACATTTGTGCTGCTTTTATTTTTAAAATAACAGCAATTATCCTAAAACCAAAAGTCTCCTTTGGTGACGCATAATTGCTATTATTATCTTAAAAATAACATCAGCACAAGTGTTAATTTTTACAGCACAAACCAACACAAACGTGGCACTAACCATCCAGCAAGTTTCCTGTCATTTGGCTGTTGCGGAAGGGCTGGTGATGTCATCATCTTAAAAAAAAGAACAATTGCTATTATCTTACTAATAAAAGCAGCAGAAATGTAATTTTTTACGGCACAAACCAGCACAAACGTAGCACTAACCAGCCCAGTTTCGTGTCTTTTGGCGGTTGTAAGGGGGCTGGGTGACCTTTGGTGATCTTTTAATAAATGGTAAATAACTAAAAAACGAAAGGAGATAGAATGGAGATTTAAACGGCACAAACCAGCACAAATGTAGCACTAACCATCCAGCAAGTTTCATGTTGTTTTGTTGTTGTAGGGAAGCTGGGTGATGCCATCATCTTGAAAAAAACAATTGCTATTATCTTTAAAATAAAAGCAGCACAAATGTTAATTTTTGCGGCATAAAACAGCACAAACGAAACACTAAAGAAACATACTGGAGTTTTTATTTGTGCCGACTGTCGGGGGGCCAGCTTCGCTGTGCTACGGACCTTCAGTTTACAACGTTGAGCTTTCAGGTTCCTTCCGTAAAGTTATCTTCAGGTACCTGTAGATATCTGCTTGTTAAAGAATAATTCCACTTTTGTTGAGAAAAAAAATAATTCCTTCCTGGGTGATCAATATATTACAAGGATTTTAACCAAATTTGTTGCAGCTTCCTACCTGGTTCTGTTGTGAAGCAATAGCTGTTTGTTACAGCATGTCCATTCCAGAATAACTCCTGAATGGGAGGGTCTGACTTCAACATAAACAGCTGGGGGGCTCCCTGTGTTGTAATAGGGCATGGTACTGTGTCAACACCACTCCCTGTGTTGTAATAGGGCATGGTACTGTGTCAACACCACTCCCTGTGTTGTAATAGGGAGTGATACTGTGCCAGCATCCCTTTAGAGGTAAATAACACTTAGGGAGTATCTCACTAAACTTGTATATTAGTGCAGACTTCTGGGAAGATCAGTCAGCCAATCACAAAAGCAGGAAGTGACATTTCTGGGGGAGTTCTGTACACCAATTTACAGTAATACAGTGGGTGTTGTACTGTTGACATTTTACTTGCAAATAAGACAGTGGTGTGGCTTGCAGTCATTTCTCATTCCTTTTTGATCCTTGATAATTACACAGTTTGAACAATCAAAATGCATTGCACTTTTTTCACATTTGTCCACTATTAGGTCCTCTTGGTCCTGATGTGAAAGCAAAGAGACATGAAATAAAGAGTGACCCTACTCCCTTGGGTCTAAAAGGTATATATATATATATATCTATATATATTGTAGTATACTTATTGTTGTCTTGCATGGTTGTTTTTGTATGTGGTTGCCTGTATCATTCTTGTTATCTGACTTTGAAGTTACATACTTTACATATATTTTCATGTTTTGTACAAACTGTGTCTACTTCCTGCTTCTGTATTTCAGTTTTCTTGATGGTTTAATTTGAACCCTTTTATAGCCCAGGGTATTTTGTGCATTTGTGACTGGTGTCAGAAAGTTCTAGCGGTTCGCTTTTTCCAAAAAGGCTACAGAGTGATCATGTCATTAGCAACTTGGTCGCATCAAGTGTACAGTGCACAAGAATGTGTGCACTTGCATTTCAGGTGGAAATTTTGCATGAATGTGCTCATAATGTATGCGCATGCATGCACACCTGCAAACATACATTTGAAATGCAATTTTGAAATTTGCTAAAGTAGATCTTTAAGTTTTTGGAGGTTAAGGGAGGGGTGTATCTACCACAGGCAAACAAGGCATTCGCCTTGGGCAGCACTTTACAGGGGGGCAGCGAAAAAATGCTGCCCCCAAATCAGCAAGGCAAGCCAGGTGCTGTCACGCCTAGCAGTCTACGGTTGTGAACCACAACTGCGGAGAGTGGAGTGGTAGGGTTTGGGTGTGTATTTTATAATGGCAATCAGTACTGAGCCCCAGGCGTCACTCTCAGTCTAAGGCGGAGAGTTTGGAGTTCGTGACATCTGACAACTGGATCAGGGATTCATTGATTTGGACAGGAAGGGTATTACTTCATACCCCCTAGTGGTTCTTTAGGGTAACTTGGTGAAGATATCATATAGACTGACGTCTAACATAAAGTCTTATTTATGTAGCGAAATGCAGCAAAGTAAATGAGATCCAGCACAAGGTTAAATGAAAGTCTTATCCCTATGTTATTTGAATCAAGATAATCAGATCAGCAAGGTTTAAATGCAATACTCATAACTATAACAGCAGCATCAGGGAAATCATACCCACATGGAGTTAAATGAATATATCTCAGCTATGGCAAATGCATCCAGGTAATCAAGCCAGCATAAGGTAATTTGGAAAGTCTTATCCTACAGTATATGTATCAAGGCAACTCAGCTCCAGCAGATGGTACATGAAAGTCTCACAACAATTGTAGCAAGGTACTTATCGGTTTTCCTGGGTTTGAAGTGGAGGATTCCTGGCAGGGAGGTGGCAGTGGCAATCCACAGCTGGGTCTCCAGGGTGGTGTAGGCAGGATCGGTCGGGTCCTTCCCATGCAAGGGTCAGAGGCTGAGTCTTTGAAAGCGCAATAAAGGAACGCCGTGCAAGTCCCCCAAACCGGCTTTTAATACACGAGGAAGTGCGGGTGGGCGGAGCCGCACGTTCCTCTGGACATGCAGCGGTGCTGCCCATCCGCGTCATAGTGCCGTCGCCGAGTGCGTTACACGCTGGGACGCATCGGCGATTGCGGTGGACGCCGCTTACAGGTGCACAGAATCAGGTAGCCTCGACTGCCTAACCAGGCGAATTAGGTGGCTGCTTGTGGGGCCTTGCGGTGGCCTAATTTGTCTGAGAGAACTGCCAGGTGAGAGAGGAGGCTGTGGTGGGCTGTGTGAGGTCTCAGGTGGGCTATGTGGGGTCTCAGGTGGGCTGTGTGGGGTCTCAGGGTGGGCTGAGCAGGATCTATGCTGGGCTGTGTGGGGTCTATGGTGGGCTGTGCGGGGTCTATAGTGGGCTGTGTGGGGTCTCTGGTGGGGCCTGCAGGGTCTAGGATGAGCCCACCAGAGATCCTTCACAGCCCACCTGAGACCCTAGTTTCCCTGCTACGCTAATAGCGCAACCTGTCAGAAGCTGACAGGTTAAGCAAAAGGTTGTAAACGGGATGGGGTGGGGCAAATTTAGATTGGGGGTTGCCCGAGTTTTGTTTTGCCTAGGGCAGCACGAAACCTAAATACACCACTGGGTTAAGGCCCACCTCAACAGAATGTTAGCTAGTGACTTTAAAGTGGACCTTAAAGTCCTCAGCAACTAAACCCTATATTGCAGCCCCACCACATATCCTCAATCTTAAGGCCTAAGAAAAGAAAATTACCCCCAAAAAAGAACTAAATACATATTTTAGAACCTGGCTTTTGGTCTATTCATCCAGGTGAGGGTGACATCACACAGTCTTCTACCAGGATCCTGGGAAAGCTGAAGACCTCAACTTTTATGAGATGAAGGCACTCTTGCACAGTACAGGAGGGAATTATTGCGAGATTGATTTATTTCACTGTTCAGAATTTTCCACCAACTGTAATACTAGCTCACATAATTGAATATATGTCAACAACTGTCACACCTAATAGCAATGTTACAGCTTCCAATGTTACTGTTACTATATAATCAGTTACTAACCAACAGAATTAATCCAGTTTGGGCAAAGAAGCTCAGACACTATACATGAAGTTCTAATCCTTTTGCTGTATCAAATGTGTGAGAGAATTCCTGCCCCCCAATCCATACTCTTTCCTTTTTTATATATATAATAATCAATTTATATAAATAATTAGCAATAAATCATAACATTTGTTCTATAACATATGTCAGTATAATATTGCACCCTTTGTATATTTCTACTGCTTTCCACAAAAACACTCTTTTGCTGTTTATGTGATTAGCAGTGACAGTACTACCTCCTCTTCCTGTGTTTTCGGTCTCATTCTGACAACTAAGAGAGCTACAAAGCACTCACAAGTACACCCAAATAAGTGGTACTCTACATGAAACACAATAGAACAATATTGTGCCAAGCTGCAATCAAAACAATGTGACTAGATAAAGAATGCTAATACAATGTGTTAAAAAATGAAAACAGAGTAAAATCAAACAGTGATACAAAATAAGTATTTGTAACAAGTGTAAAGTCTAAAGAGAAATAAAGGTTCAGTGTCTGAAATAATTATAGTGCTCAAAGTTAGGAATAGTGCATCCCTGGAGACATCAAACATCCACCTTAAGGTACCCATACACCTGCCGATTATCGTACGACAATCGCGGGTGATCCCGCGATCATATGATAATCGGCAGGTGTATGGGCAGCGTGCAACCACTTCTACTGTAAGGTCGCACGACTTTCGTCTTCCGGGTATGCTGGAAAACCTGCCGAAAATCATACGATTTTCGGCGGGTTGGTGGCGTGTTCGGAAGCCGAATGCCACATGGGCCGGTGTGCGCAAGCGCACACTGCCCGCTCAGCACTGCAATCATCGGAAGACAGCCCCTCAGCGAGGCGGGCTTGCGCTGATCGCAAGTACGATCTGCCTGTCCAAGAAGGGCAGATCGTACGAAACTTTAATCACCTTACAACCATCGCACAACGAAAGTCGTGCGATGGTTGTATAGGTGTATGGGCAGCTTAAGACATTGTCTTTAGTGTTAACCCTTTTCAGTGACACTCACACCTTCTCCTGTGACCTACTAAGTAGGTCTCATAACGCTGATCTCTTTTACGGGTGAGACACCCCTCAGTGTGCAGTTGACGATTGCTCATCCAGTGGTACAACTCTGATGTCTACCACGATGGCTCCTATTTCAAGCTCCGTGTATGGACTATAAAGCTAGAATCCCTCTTGTCTATAATGATCTACAGCCTTTTGGACGTTAATTCTCCTCAGCCAGTGTTCTGTCATATTTGCCAACCCGGTACTTTTGGCCACCTACGTAACGCGCATGGGCACGCCTTCTCCATACCACAGTTGCGCATGCGCTGAATGAAATCCGCATGGAAGAAAAAAAAGCCTATACATATTTTAGGCGCATCTTAAAGGCCACCATCTTCGCATTGGTTGATGTTTTGCCTTAGTTCACCACACCCCTTTTTTGGACCCACTGGGTTGCTCAGTCTCCCAGGAGATTGTGACCTTTGTGACATCAGGGCCCATGCGCGCTGATGTAGTTGAAATAATTTTTTTCTCCTCTAATGTGTTATCAGAGCACATGCGTGCACATGCACACTAGCGATTTTGTTGGAGGCATGGCCGTGCGGATTCCGTAGGTCGGCAAACCTAACACGGTCGGCAAATCCGACAGAAAACCAGCTCTCCCTATTATGCGATATCATGAATGAAGACAAGCACACACCATAGAGCATAACAATATAAACACTTAAAGGGTTTCTAAACCCTCCGTTTTTTTTTTTTGCTTTATATTTTGCATAAATATATATATTTATGCAAAAAGTTTTAGTTTTTTTTAAACTGCTTTAACAGCAGTTTAAACTTACCCCGTCTTCTCTGCGCACTCCCGCCCGTAAAATCTGAAACTGCTCAGGCGGCCGCAAATCATCTTGGGGCGGGCGCATGCGCAGTTCGGATTTTCGGCCGGGAGACGGGGAGAGACGCAAGGTAAGTCTATGGACGCGTGCACCCACAAGCAGACACAGCGGGATCGGAAGTGCCAGCAAGCACAGAGGAGTCAGCGCTGGATCGGAGACCCGCCGCACCGCTGGAGAGAAGGCTGAAAAGGACAGGAAAGAAGGGGAAGATCGGATTAAGAAACATCATTTAAGGTACCGTATTTTTCCGTGTATAAGACGCTAATTTTTCATTCAAATGTTTACCCAAAAAGAGGGGGGCGTCTTATACACGGGGGCCGAGAGGAGAACCGTGAGAGGAAAATCTGCTGAAAGAGCAGATACCACTGCAAACTAGTCTCACGAGTGAAACTTCGGATTGCAAAGACAAGACAAGTCTTCCTCCAATCAGAAATCTTTTGTACCTGACGTCAGCTGTTGCTGGGGAGAGTGGAAGAATACTGTTATCTTGCCTCTGCAATCCACTCTCCCCAGCAACAGCTGACGCCAGGCACAAAAGATCCACGACTGGAGGAAAACTGTTATCTTGTCTCTGTAATCCGATCATAAATCTTTTGTACCCGACGTCAGCTGCTGCCGGGGGAGAGCGTGTAGCCAGTGCCCGGAGCTGTAATGTCGGAGCATAACGTGATTGACTCAGAGGTAAGTGTGATGAATTATATAATTTAAAATATTGATTTCTGAATTTTGGGTAAGAAAAGTTGGGGGTGTTTTATACATGGGGGTGTCTTATAGGCGGAAAAATACGGTAAGTGCTTACATTAACATTGGGGGAGGGAAACATTTTTTTGACTTTAATGTCACTTTAAAACCTTTATCAAAAAGCCTAGTGACAAGAGTATGCAGTGATGGAGTCCAACAGTAAGCAGATATAAACACAGCTCGAACCTTGAGCACTTAAAACCAGTCCACCAATATATTTATTTTGTATCCCTGTTTGATTTGACTGTTTTAATTTTTGAACACATTGTATTACCATTGTATATATAGTCACATTGTTTTGATTGTAGCTCGGCACTATATTGTTCTATTATGTATTCCTGTATTCATGAACAGCTTGTACTTGTTCTGTTGTAATCCATCCAGTGTTTGAGAATGCATTTTATGCTAAATAAACATGACATTGAAGGAATAGCTTGATGTAAATGATTTTGATAGCAAGACAATAAACCAATTGAAAAGCAGGTCATGCAATAATATGCACTGGGTAGGGTTAACAAATAGTAAAAGATGAATTCCAGGCAGATATAATAACATCAATTACAGATTTGCATTCATCTCTCATTTTTTTAATGAACTTGTGGGAGTACCTCAAATTATTTTCATGATCAACATCCTGTAAACCCCTGTACCGCAGTTAGGGGCTGAAACAAAATATTCCTTCAGTAGGAGAGAGCAAAAGGATGGTTTCATCATTGTGCTGCTGCTCTTTTATTTTCCAATCAGCATGGTGGGAGTTTTTCTTGGCCAAGTGGTGCTGCTGCTGCAGCTGCCCCCGCACTGCAAGGGTTAACTACTTGTTTGCATCTAGGTGCTAAAAAAAGGTATACTCACCTGATCATTCAAGCTGGCTTGTTCTTAGACTGGTCCCTAGAGCCTCCATGAGCCTCCGCATCCATGATTTCTCTCCTCCCCGTTGGGTGCTGCTCTGTGTCCCAGCGGAGAGGTGAGAAACTGTCACAGGAGGACGAGCACTGCTGGAGGAGAGCGATGCGAGCGGCCGGCATCTCTCCTTCCCGCTCCTCTCAGCCTCCTGTCACAGAACAGAAGAGCGGCGGTGTGGGCGGAGACAGCCAGTGCTGTCACAGGAGGCTGAGCTCTCCTCCTGCCTCACACCACCCAGCCTCCTGTGACAGCATGTCAGGATGGAGAGCGGGTACAAACATAGATAACGTAGATAATTGAGGACAGAGTATGTTTACTGTGTCCCCAATTATGAAAGAATGGGAATGATCTATATCACCCCCTGTTCATTCATGATGGTGGTTATAATAAACACACTGTTCTCATGTTATAAATTAACAGGGACACTCAGTATAGAGGATTCCTGTTCATTTATAACAGGGGGCTGCAGAAAAAGAGATTGAGATCTAATTTTCTATTTTAAAAAGGAAATATCAGGGGTACCCCTAATATTTCCCCGAAGCCCCCAACAGTAAAGTAAAAAATAAAAATATTTAATAAAAATGAATAAATAAAAATAAAATATAAAAAAAGAAAAAAGTTTATAAAAAATAAATAAAAATTTGAAAAAGTTATAATAAAAAACATTTTCGGTTTTCATTTTGGTTTTGAAATTTTCATTTTGGTGCACCTATAGTTAACATTCCCCCCCAGAGTTCTTCTTTAAGCTGTGTGTTTCCCTGTGTGCCAGCTTTTGAAGACTTAACTGAAAATGTGGGTTGCAATATACTATCCCGAGTAAAAGGAAATTAAAATGTTGCCATCAGATAACAATGACTTTATTGCAGAACATGAAATACTTGAAATATGGCAACGGCAGCAAACACCACAGCTTTTCTCCCGGCAGGGTTTTCTGAATAAGCGTATTCATGTTGGATTTTCAAGTGATTCATTTTTTGTGTAAAAACCTTTTGTAAAACAGTTCCTTTATATGTATATCAGCTGTGTGTTTCCTTGTGTGCCAGCCTTTGGAGACCTAACTGAAAAGTTGGGTTGCGATATAATATCCTGAGTCAAAGGAAATGTTGCCATCAGATAACAATGACTCTGGTTTCTTAGAACATGAAATATTTGCAGTATATGGTTGCAACAGAGAGCGCTTCAGCTTTTCTCCTTTGACAGGTTTTTTTGTGAAAAGGCTTATTTATGTTGGATTTTTAAGTGATACATTTTTACTGTTTCCACAAGGAGGTATTATTAACCTATTTAAAAAAAACACAGGATGGACAGACCTAAAGAGAGTGGAAAGCAATACATCCTGCATGTGCCTACTTTGCAAATCATAGAATAATTTGCAAATCAGTCTCTCAGTCACATGCATCTCCTAATTAGAAGAGCATTCCTCTATAACTGTAATGCCAGTGTGGACGCAATTGATTTAATATGTACAAGTGAGACTCTGTGGGGGGAACTGCTATTTAAGTGCACATCAAGTGGCATTTACTGTGCATGTTACAATCTTTGAAGGAATACTCGCTAAAGCCAATGTTCACATTTTCTTCATTTATTTCACTCATGAGTGAAATGACTCAGACTCATGAGTTTCTACCAAAAAGCATTAATGATATTCTGCAACACGACTATAAAACATGTCTCTTTATAACCAAAGTCATTTCACATTGTGTGCAACAGCTATTAAAGGAGTACTATAAGGTGAGTGAAAATCAGTCATCCTCATAGTTCGAGTCGACGTGTGACAACGAAACTGTCACACGTCGGCTCAATAGATCGGGAAGTGAGCGAACACATACTGTCGCTCGCTCACTTCTCGATCATGTCCCTGCAGAGAGCCGTGACTGTCACTCACTGCTCCCTTCAGGGATTCCCCCTCCCCTGTCCAATCCTCCAGCGCTGACTGGCGAAACAGACGGGGAGGGGGCAGGTACAGCTGGCTCTGCCTCTAGATAGGCAGAGCCAGCTGTCAATCACACAGATGGGTGGATCTCGACAGCATTGTCGGGATCCGTCCTGGCTGCGGTGGTCTTAGTATACCGCGAGTTATAGCTTGCGATATACTGAGCTTTGGGTCACGGGAGGACGCTAGTTTGTGTCCCCCTGTGACCCTTGGGAGAACTATGGGGAAAAGCGCTGACCCCCATAGTTCTCCTTTAACTACCTCCGGGCCGGCCGTAGTAAAAAAACGGCCGGCCAGGAGCTCTCTCGATCGGAGCGGGCGTCTCTAGACGTCCGCTCAGACACGCCCCCTAGCGAGCGGGAAATGGCCGGAATTTAAAAACGGGCAGCGATGCCCGTTAATATACATGCGATCCGCCGGCGGTAGAGCCGGCCGATCGCATGTATGGGGTGCCGATCGGGTGTCCCCCCCCCTCCGCGGCCCCCCTGCCGTTGTCCCGCTGATCCCGGGCTCCGCTGTGCCCGGTGCGAGCCCGGGATCAGCATGTCGCCTGTGACACAGGGGATCAGAGAGAGCTCGGTACACGAGCTCCCTCCGGTCCCCTCTCCTCTGAAAGAATGCGGAAGTGTTGTATAATACATCACTTCCGCATTCTTGTGTCACTCTCCAGCTTCAGAAGCTGGAAAGAAGCTGATGGAGCAGATCTCTGCTTCATCAGCTTCTTTTGGGGGGTCCTAGGTGACATTAGGGGTCTTGGAGACCCCTGATGTCTCCATAAAGAGGACCTGTCACATATTTTGCTATCACATAGGGGGGTTTTATTAGCCCCCGTATGTGATAGCGATAAAGTTTAGTGAAAAAAAAAAAAAAAAAATAAATTTAAAGTACCCCCGCCCCCCAAAATTTTAAGTTACACATAAAAAATAATTAAAGAAAAAAAAATTTTTTTAAAGTCCCCACCCATACATACACGCATGCAAACATGCGTCGGGGGCGCATACGTGCAAAAAAGACGATTGCGCCCATTACGCCGCACATGTTACATATCGCCGCGAACGTCGGAGTGAGAGCAATAAGTCTAGGGCCATCAATCACTGATAACACTAAACTGATGAGCGGTAAAAACGTTTAAAGTGTCGCCTATGGCCAATTTTGGTTGCCGTCGTTTTCTGCGATGTCGCGGGTGCGCGCAATTTTAAAGCTTGACATGTTTAGTTTCTTTTTAACCGACGTGACCTGATCTTTAATATTTGACCGAAAAACTGGGTAATAATAAATGTTTCCTAACATAATGTTACAAAAAACGTTTTTTTTTCAAAATGTTCAGTAATTTTTCCTAATTATAATAAAAAATAAAACCCCCAGTGGTGATTAAATACCACCAAAAGAAAGCCCTATCTGTCCCCAAAAAATGGTATAAAATTCATTTCAGTACAGCGTTGCATGACGGAATAAACGTCAGTCAAAGTATCGCAGCGCTGAATACTGAAAAATGGCCTGGCCAGGAAGGGGGTCTAAACACCTGGTCTTGAAGTGGTTAAAGAAGAACTCCAATAGGTCCCTTAAACCTCCCTCCTCCTCAGCTCCAGCGATGCATTGTCCCTCGGTGTCCTCACATCCTATACACTGTATAAGATGTGATGACTCACAGGACCTGCTTGATTTGAGTATAACAAAACGAGCACTTAACTCTTGCAGTGCAGGTGTAACCCCACTGCAAGGGTTAAGATTTTTTTTTTACCTTCTTTAACAATTATGGCTTTCACCGGAAATATGTCTTTTATACTTTCTTTATTTTCCTAAAGGTTGGCCAAGACACCTAAATTCCTTAGAAACATACGAAGATTTTTCTGCCATTCCATCCAGCAACGATGAACTTTCAAATTCGTCTGATATTGAAGAAGAAACCACTCATTCCAAAGTAATGATTTCATCTTGTACAAATCCTGACATAATCTGTTCACAATTATTTTATACTGTATTTTCAAGGCGTACAGGCATTTTTTTTTCTTTTGGGGGAAATGTTTTTTTTTATTTAGTGTTACCAGACCAAACACATTTATTCTCGTTTATTTACCATTTCAGGGGTCAAAGCTTTTCTCGATTGAAAGTAGTTTTGAAACATGTTCACCTAGCACATTTTCCCTCAAAGAAGGTGATATAGTACAGTTCATACAGTGCGGAGAGAACGGACAGTGGTAAGTTTTACGTAATGTGCAGAAGTCATTTGTCAAGGGGTAGGTCAGTTTAACACAGTTGGCATATCTGAATGTTGGTATTCAGGCAAGCAAAAGTTGTCATTTTTAGAAAGTAACCACAACTGTAGGACTTTCATTATTTAATGATGTATTTTGTGTTCTTAACTTCCTCTTTATTGCAAATGTTATTCATTTTCCTACATAGACTATTCAAAAAACCTTAAAGTGTTCATCCATCCAAACATTAGTTCTTTGTTTTAGCTAGAGCCTGTTGGACCAGCCCCTGGTTTATAGGCATTTCTATCCACCTTTGTTTACCCCAGCTACTCCTGCTGCATTATCTGTAGTGTAAAATAAATAAAACATCCAACAGGTAGTGCGAAAGGACTTCCTGATGGTCACAGCATGTGTGTAGACCCAGGAACCCAAGTGCAGAAATATCACTAAAAGAATCCCCAAAAGATAAAGCAAACCTGCAAAGTTATTGAATCCGCATGGCATACAGGCAACTAGCATTTGCAGGATAGACCAACGATGGCTTCTCACTTACCACTTTAGTAGATTTTTTTTTTTTTAAAACAGCATCCAACTAAAGAAAAAACTCAAGTACATATATACTGTATATAGTATATGATTATACATTCCCTTAAGAAGGCAATGCAGGACATCAGTGGAGAACTTGTTTGGTTTAATTTGTTCTCTCATCTGGTTTAACTGACGGGTTAATAGAAAGTCTTACTCTTATTCCTTTTAGGCTAGTGAAGGATCCAATTACCAAAAGGAAAGCCTGGGTACCATGCAATATATTGACACCAGTGGCATCTGCTAATGTGTTGCAGAAGGACAACATCACAGGTAACTATTTACATATCAAAGAGCTGTCTGCGGCCATTTTTTTCAGTGTGGTTTCTGAAAAGGACCAACATCTACTTTTTAATACAGCAGATTAACTAAAGCCATTGTATGATGTGGGATAACAGTCTATAAAAGGATGAATTAACTATAGATGGAGGTCAGCCATACAGATAAACTCTGCTGCAAAAAAATATATTTTTAATTATTTTCTTTTATTGATAAAGGAGAACAACAATTTTAAAAAAACCTTCAATTATACAAAAACTAAATTCCCCCTTAACATCGGCCATATAATTCATAGTATCTTTTTAAAACCCTAATATTTGTTGAAGTGAATACTTCTGCAAAAACTTATACCAGTGCTCAATAAACTTTTTATGACATGGCTGATGTCTCACACACATATAATCATAAAACTGCAATATAATAAAATGGCACAAAGGCCACTGTACATCCATCTTGTTTAATCACCTACATAGTATCATTTTCAAGGTCAGCAGGATTAAAGTATTATAAAATCCTTATCAGGACCTTGGAATAGGCCCAGAAACACGACTTTCTCTCTTTCTTTTTTTCTTTCTCTGAATAACCGAGCCATAGCTAAGTGAGCCGAACAACGTTCGGCTATTCACTATTGCTCAGTACGGCTGATTTCAACCGTACATCGGCTGCCTTCGGCTGCACTTCGGTCAGCCAAACATGCTCTGCATGTTCGGCTGAACCAAAGTGCAGAAGGACTTCCACTCAGCTGACTCAGCTGAGCGGCATTCGGGTCAGCTATTCTGCTTGGTACCTCCGTGGTGATGAGCAGAATAGCAAACAGTGAAAAAAGTTGAAAAAATTAAAAAAAAGTTGAAAAAAATGTTTTAAAATGTAAATAAATAATAAATTAAAAAAATTAAAAGAACAATTGGGCGGAGCTACCAGTGACAGCTAGCTCCGCCCAATTGTTTCCTATTGGCCGGCACCTGCTAGAGCGGTGGGGGGAGAGTTTAATGCCAGTTTAATGGAAAAAGTGTAGCTACCTACACTTTTTCCATTGGCCAATAGGGGTGTGGCACCATTTACTCAGGATCTGCTCACGACAACTTGTTCCTAAAGTCAGTTTAAGTCACCACATTTTAAACATCTAATATCTCCTCTAATATCTCCTATTGTACATTTTATTATATCTTTCAATAGATATGTATACCCCATTGATGATTTTCAAATTTAGGTCTCTTAAATCAGTGCTTATTGTGCTCCTACAAATCCTAGTATAACCCTTAGACACTTAGGGATCTATTTATAAACAATTTGCATAAGAAACATTTATTTTTTGCACCTCAGCTTCATCTAGTGGCCATAATGTGGTATTACAATACACTGAACTCGAAAAGAATATATACTAAGAACGTTAGTTTTATCCTCTATTCACATAGAATGGACGTTCACAGAGATTCACATGGCAAATGGCTCTGCAAATTGTTTATAAATAGACCACTAAGTTTCCTTTTTCATTATTGTGCGGGAAAAACGTATTCCATTTAACTTCATAACACTCATCAACTCCCTTAACTTCCGAGTCCAGCAAAATTCCACAGGTACATTAATTAGTATTATTATTATTATACAGGATTTATAAAGCTCCAACAGTTTGCGCAGCGCTTTAAAATTTAAGGAAGACATTATAATCACAATACAATCCAAGACAAGATGGTGAGGAGGGCCCTGCCCCCGAGGGCTTACAATCTAAAAGGGAGGGGCAAATGATACATGAGGAGGTAGCTGTGTGGAGATGAATTGTTTGAGAATGTGATGGTTGAGTGGTTAGGTTGAGGTGGAATAGGCCAATTGCACCATTCTTAGGGGAATTTCTCAGAACTGAATTAATATAATGTGAGAGATGTCCTATCACACTCCAGACTGACATATCACTGCATATCACTTCAGTGGGTGCTGAAAAGGTCAGCGGATGATGGCGCATACACAGTTGAAATAATGAGGTCACCTGCACATGGAGGTCCACTTTATCGAAGAAATCGCAACGTTTGAGAAACAAGAAATTGCAACATTGTTTTGCCTATTGAAGAGATAGTATGTGGTTCCAAAACATTGTGTTTTCTTGTGACACCATGTTTATCTGAATGTCAATTAAGGACGGATCTATAAAGTTGGCCTCGGTGTGCTGGTGAGCTCATTGTTTCCAATCAATAAAGTAATCCTGAATCTGTTGGTATAACAAAGCAAATTGATCTCAAGTCAAACGTCTTTGAACCACTTGTCCTTCCAATCTGGAAACACCCTACAAATTAAACCTTGCTCAAGTCTGGAGTTTCCCATCAACAGGGGATGATTAGAGTGCTTAAGATGAAAATGTATTATGGGGGTTATTAATGTGGCCACTGACACCAACACTGAGAGTTATTATTGCGGCCACTGAAATCAATGCTGGGGGTTATTACTGCAGCCACTAACACCAATGCTGCGAGTTTTTTTGCAGGCGCTGACACTATTGCTGGGGGCTATTACTGAGCCTCATACACCAGCACTGGGGGTTATTATTGCGGTCCATATTGTTGCCACTGACACCAATGCTGGGGGTCGCTAGTTCTGACACTGACACCAATGCTGGGGAATATTGTTGCACTCACTGACACTAATGCTGGGGTTTATTATTGTGGCCACTGGCACTAATGCTAGGGGTTATTATTGCAGCCACTGACACCATTGCAGGGATTATTATTGTGGCCACTGACACCAATGCTGGGATTTAATATTAATGACACTGACGCTGACACCAATGCTGGGGAATATTGTTGCACTCACTGACACTAATGCTGGGGTCTATTCCTCCCTTTGGACACCAATGTTGAGGCACAGTTCTTCAAACCTCTTCCTACTTGCACAATTATTGGGGCACTATTCTTCCCATTGACACCAATGATAGGGCACTGTTCCTTTTGCTGACACCAACAATGGGGCTCTGTTCATCTCACTGACCTCAGTAATGGTACACAGTACCTTCCATTGACACCAGTGATGGGGCACTGTTTCTTACACTAACACTAACTATGGGGCACTATTACTCCTAGTAATGCCGATGATAGGGCACTGTTCCTTTTTTAAATCCCACTGACCACCAACCCTGGGGCATTTTTTTTACTGTAACCCATTACTGAGCCAGGGGGGTTGTTTACTGCTACAGCAAAGCGGCAGTAAAAGAAGTTTGCTACATATAGTTGCTAGAGATGATAAAAAAATCAGATTTAAGATAAATTTATTAGCCTTTCTGACTATAGCACTGTGCAGTGTTTTATTCACGGCATTATCAGTTCTTTAATCTAGTTTACTTGTTGCCTGGAGCTGCTGTTTCAAAACAGAAGTAAAGTGTTGTCAGGCAGTGGAAGCGGGTTATGGTTGCAGGTTTGCCTAATACGGTCTCCATCTCCATTATCCTTGGCAGGGTTAGTCCAATTATACATATGCTGAAGTGTGGCAAGCTGCATGCTGTTAATAGTAACCTCAAATGAAAGAAATGTTTTCCTAATGTTAGTATTTCCTACATGTTTACACTGGGAAGTTACTTGTATTAGTTGTGACACAAGTACTATCAGAGCAATGTAGAATGAGTATACAGTGACATCTACAGGTTTATGTTAAAATTGTTTTATCACCATCAATAATAAAAGACCCACAGCATGGGGGGGCCGGGGTGCATATTTCTATGTGTGTGTATTTCTATGTGTGTGTGTATTTCTGTTTATGTGTGAGTGAATGTGTGAATCTGTTGGTCCTCTATGATTAAAATTAAACCCTGTTGGAAACACAAACAAAGGGTTCTCAAATTCAATTCACTTGGGGGACCACTGGACAAATTTTTTTCTTCCATGGGGGCCGCTTGTCAAAGTTCGTACTTCAAAATAAAATGTAACTATATACGGTACCAGTGTTAATGTCTGTGTGTGTTTCTAAAGTTGGTATGTATTTGTTATAGTTTCTTTCTATGCAATGTCAGTATATTTTTGTGATGGTTTGTGTGTGTATTGTCAGGATTCCTGTGAGTGATGTCGGTATGTGTGTTAATGTTTCTGTGTGTGTCATATCAGTATGTATACATGTGTATGTGTGCAGTGTCAGTATGTGTGTGTGGTATTTCCTACAGGGTTTCATTTTAATCATAGAGGACCAACAGATTCACACATTCACTCACACATAAACAGAAATACACACACATAGAAATATCCACCCCCCATGTGCACACACACACTAATACACACACAATCATACACCCACAACCAGCAATACACACACTAATATACACACAATAAAGCCCCATGTACACCCCTGTATCTTTAGGTGTAATTAGGGATTCCTGTGTCAGGAACTTGTGTTTTCCTGCAGCAGGAATCCATAATCTGGCATTTACAAGTGGTAGCTGTCAACCGTTCAAGTTAATGATCAGGGGACAGCCCCTGCATGTAAACGCCTGCACACCGCATGTAATGGTATGTGATATGATTACATGAAGTCAGGAATCAATCCCTATCCGTGGACGCATTGATTGTGCATCCACAGAGAGTGATTGATTCCTAACCTTATGTAATCATATCACATACTGGTATATGCTGTGTGCCGGCATTTACATGCAGCGGCTGTCACCTGATCATTAACTTTAATGGGTGAAAGCTGCTTGCAAGCAGCAGATTAAGAATTACTACTGCAGGAAAATGTAAGTTCCCTATCCAGGAATCACTAAACACACCTAAACGTACAGGTGTGAATGGGGCCTAATGCACACATACACACATATATACATACATACAGGAATACAATCTCACACACACATACACAGAAATCCACAATAATTGAAATAATAATACACTCCCCCATTCCCCAGCCCCCCCACAATAATACACTCCCCTACATAAAATAAAAGAAAGAGCCCCCTCAGGAAGAAGGCACTGAGGCACAATCCCTGGTGATCCAGGGGTTGATTAGTAAGGTCTTGAGCAGACCTT